AAATGAACCAAATTACAAATAAATAAATTACTTTTTGAAACGATTAAAAATTTTCAATGAAAAAATATTAACATAAAAGTGTATAATACGAAGAAACTTTGCATATTGTGTTACAAAACAATTCTTTATCAGTTCTATTATATTGAAGAGAATATTCTACGAAAAATAAAGTATTTACTAATGAGTATCATTAAGCATTGGTTTCAACTCAAATGTCGTTAATGAAAGAAAGATCAGCTGATCAATACAGTAGTCATTGTAAAATGCTTCTCCTTATAATATTTTTCATTATGATTCAACAAACAATGTCAATATCATGTGAACATATCCAAATGGAATACAAAGCTAAATTTCTATCAAAATCTAATGATTATACTTTGATAGAAAATAAAAAGTTTATTAATTGGTTTTATCAAAAATTTACTCAAATGAATATACAATTTCCTTGGAGTAAAATTTCGAATAAAAAACGAAAAACATTTTGAAAAGAATTTACTATAAAATTTTTTTTTTTTGTCATTCATAGATCTTATCGGTCAACAACTTGATGAATATAACAATAGATCATTTTTGATTCAATTCACTTTTCAATTAGTACTATTATCGAATTTCAATTCTATCGTTCTTTTTTTCCTATTCTTATACTTATTAATAGATTTCAAACAATTCATGGATGGTTCTTATTATCTTTATTTTATTATTTCTATTAATTTTCTTCATTATATCAAGTATAAAAACATTTTGTAAATACAAAAAAAATCAAAATTTTATACAAAAACAATCATTCATAAAGAATAATTATCAATCATCATGGAATAATGAATTTCAGCAAGAAAAATCTCGTATTTATTCACATGCAATAAATACTTTACAATCATGTATTAACAACGATTATTATTCAAAAAAGCAAAAAGTCTGTCATATTTTATTTAAATGTATTTATTCAATATTTCTTATTTGTCTCTTATTAACAAAGTAAAACAAAATCATTTAGTTAATCTACCGAGGAAAAATATATTTCATAGAGGTTTACTTTTATGGATGATTATAATTATTATTGAAGGAATTACTATTGAAAGAAAAATTCATGATTATATTCAAAAATCTTCATTAGAATTAATTTCATTTATAGAACATACAGCATTTGTAATTACTAGAAAATGATTGTTTCTTTTTTTTTTTTTTATGAAGTTTTTAATATTTAGATAACAAAATGTTTTTCTCATTCAATTGAAATAAATGATAATAAATTTGAATCTATATTAATAACTAATGAAACACTTCATGTAAAATAAAATAAAAACTCTTTTTCTTGATAATATTTCAAATTTTTCTAGATCAATTTTGATTTAAAACTCGCATTAAAAGGTGTATCATTTTTAACGAATGTAATATATTTAACAAAAAAAAGATTACTTTTGTAAATGAACTTAACTTTTTATTTATAGATTTTTCATGGTCTATCAATACATTTAAAAAACTTAGCAAATGTATTTCATTTATGGTTCATGTAAGATTATTCTTGGAAAAGAAGATCAGCTTCCGGGATTTTTTTTAAATATATTTTATCATCAGACGGGAGTGATTAGGCGACGGATAGTATGTAGTTGAGAATGAAAGCAAGAATGACATTGAGGGCAACTTACCAGCTGTAAGTAAGAGTTCACTATTCTGAACTATGACTCTTTATTTGGTAAAGGCAAAATGTGTTTTTTTTTGCTGTCGATAGAGAAATCTACTTGTTTAAAACATTCCGGTAATCCTTCCAATAGAAGATAAATGTTCTATTACTTATTTTTTTTTTAGTATTTGTTTAATAACAATCATTTTTACTATTATATTTCTTATTATATGTGGATTTGTTGCTTATCTATTATTAAAAAGATTTCATTGTTCTCATCTTAAATCATTTCAATATACAAAAATGACTTTGATGTAAATTTATTATGAATAAATCTAATTGTCTATCTTGTGGCATTCTAGATTGTCAATTATCTATTGGATTGGTTTTGTTCTCTGGTAATTTATAAATACAGATTTATTCATTCATTGATTTTTTTGTTTTTACGAATTTAATATAGGTTAATTAAATTTGTTATCGTTTTTCCACATGTAGCTGGTGCTTGTTCAGCTTGTAATGATTTAAAACAAAAACAAGTTTACAATTCAGTAAGAAAAAAAATTTTATTGAATTAAAAAAAAAATATTTCATGTCTCTATTTAGCTATTGTTTGCTAGTACATGGTTTAATTCAACTTTTCTCATGACAATGAATAATGAATCTATCGATATTGATCAATTAATTGAGTAGAATTTAGATTTAAAAGATAAAGACAGAACAGCTTATGAATATATTTTGTTTCTAGAAAATGTAAATACAATCCATTATTATGGTCGATTAATGATTTTATTCGTTTGGCATTATTAGAGAATAAAGTAAATAAGATAGATATAGTTTAATTGACATATGTAAAAAAGATTATTCATCAATTGATTTTGTTTATTTCTAGAATACTAACATAGATAAAATGAATAGAGAAGACATTGATCTTAATCAATATCATCTAGTAAGATAATTTGAATATGAAATTAATCTTTATCATTCATTTCAAACGAAATATTAAAAAAACCTTCGCTCATGAATAGTAAAGTTACTAATGGATTCTTGAAAAGTAATGTGATCAAATTTTTGTATTGTTTCCAAACACGAGTTCAGCATTTCTCGAAATCTTCTAGTTTAAGACTGATGAATCAATCGTTTAGAGGCGCAACAATTAAAGCTTGAACGAAGACAATTTACCAATAGTTTATTTCACTGAATACGTTATAAAACTGATTTTTTTACTAAAAAATTAACGACGAAACTGTTCTTTATATTGTGATATAAGAATCAAGAGTTTCAGAATACTTATTCAGAAATAGTTGAGCTTACTTTACAAGTCTGTTATCTCTGTAAATCGAAACAGTTGTCTAAAGTCCGATGATTCTTTAAATAAAGAATAGACTATTCATAGATTATCAAATTCTTAAAAATTCTCACTTTATTGAATAGATTGTTTTTATAAACCTAACTTTTCAATAGTTTTCTTCTGATTGATAATATGACTGAATTTTCGTTTCGTAATCGGACTGTTTATTTATTTATTGTGTCATTCTCCCTGAGTTTTTAAGAAGTCAATAAAGATGTTCCTTATCAATGACTATAGCAAGAGCTATAAAAGTAGAAAATTTAAAAATTAATCTACGACGTACGAGTATAGAAAAATTAAATGAAAATTTTCGAAAATATTATTTTTAAAGTTTTAAATCAATAATATTCCCGAATATTAGCTTTGCAATTAAAAAGATATTTCAAGATGGTAGATTCTACTATTCAGTATATATGTTCAGCGAAATCTCCATGAGTAAACATGTATCATTTCGAACTAGGGTCTCGTTCCCTTGAAACGATTTTTACTGAGAATGCATCTTCCAAAAGTGAATACGTCCCTATGGTGAACTCGAACAGTGTTTTTACGCTCCTTATTGCTATTCTACCCTCTTTAAAACATACACACATATCCCGATTTTCTCTGTGTCCTTCTCATTCATTGGCGGACCGACGTGGTGGCGAATTGTGGCAATTGCTACATCAAAAAGTTTGAATTAATCTACAACGGGACAAAAATCGTTTCGAAAAACGATTTTTCAAGCGATTGTCACATCAAAAATTATTATTGCCATACAAAATCTGGGTCCTCATTGTTTCTAGCTGATGCACTAAACTATTGTTTCATTGATTGTTGTTACTGTACACATCAGGAAAAGCGATGACATCACAACACTACCTACGTTAAATGAAAAAACTCAATTAAGCAATGATAACAATGATGATAGTAGCTTATCAAAACGTAAATTAGATGAAAAATTGAATATTTCAGTTGGTTCTGTATCCAATATTTTAGAACGAAAAAGAAAACAGAATATTTAAATGATTAGTAAACAAATCAAAATCAAACTATCAAACAAAAACTCAACAGTTTCCTGTAATAAAACTTGATAAATACTTATTTAGATGACTTGTAGCGTAACATTTCTCAAATTCACATACATCAACACCAAAACAATAATACAGGACTTTGTGAAACAAAGCAAAGTTTTTGTATTCATAAATATTCAAATAAAGAAAGATGAACAATAAAGAAAGTAATTTAGAGCTACTTCAAAACTGTCCTTAGTGCCAAAATATAATCCAACTCGATATATTTTTGAATAGTTCGAGGACAAAAGTAGTCAAAACTTTGTGGTTTTCACTATTCGCAAGAGAAATATGGGAGAAGTGAAATTTTGCTGACTTTTTCGAACTATACATTGATCAAGCCGGTGAGTTTTTGCTGTAGATTTTGACCAGCAATTTTCAGAAAGCTTCATTGCACAGAAAATGAATTCAAATCTAGTGAAGCGAAAAGTGAAGGCGTTTCTCTGTTGAGCTACACAATATTGACTCTTTTAGTTTGTTGCATTCAGGAGTTACAAGTGCTTTACTGAAGTTCTTGAAATTTGCCAACTGACAACTGGTCACTCTAAACTATATTGAATTTTGTGCATTCTCTTACACTGATCTAATTTCAGTTCGATCCTAAGCAGCTAGCTCACGATTTTCAAAATTCAATCTATACAAAGTTTTTAGCGTCAGATGGAATATTTTCCGGTTCCCGTCTTTCCAAAGTCAGATCGTTTTCAAAACTAAGACCAGATACTACCATTATGGACTTAGAATAAACGAATAGGCCAACATCAATATAATTTAGAATGGTCAATGGTAAGTTTATCAATTTCAAAATTTTCAGTGAAACACTTATAACACCTGAATGGAGCAAATTAGAACAGAGTTCAGGAAATTTTTTCCGAAAACTTCTGGTAAAAATCGAAAGTCTTTAGCAACTTTTGTTCTCGAGATATTCAAAAAATATTGAGCTACATTATATTTTGACGTCAACTTTAGTAAACAAGTTTATATTTTGAAATTATTTCTTATTTCTTAGTAAAATATACGATATCTTCCATAGATGAACATCATCCGATAATGAACACTACTCAAAAGGCTCAATGATGTTCATTTAAGAAAGGTTTTATCGTATAGATCAACATTTGTTTTAGTTTATGTTGAAATGGATGTCAGAGATACAGGTTTATTTTAAAAGGTATATCTATTTAAGAATTATTCTAAATATGAACGACAATTTGGTCATTGTCAAATTCTTTACGAACTTCATAACAATTTTACACAACTATTTTGTCATGGTTTTGTCAAACATCTAGTTTGTTTAATAATTTCAAATTTTATTTTTGTTTTTTTCCTGTATAACTTAAATTTCCTCCTTTAATTAGATTCATTATTTAATAACTACATTTATAACAACAATAAGTCATTTATTTTTATATTTAATAACGATTGTGCTTCGTCGATTTATTCAGTAAAAACCAATAATTTTCTAATATATATTTTTTGAAATTATTGTTTTTTAGAAATTATAAATATGAATATACTCATCAGAATTTTTCATTTCAATTATCACCGGTACTTACTACAGATCATTCTATGATGATACCTTCAAATGAAAATCAACAAGATGAAATAGAAAAAAAAAAAAACATTCGAATATCAAAATCATCCAATAATAATTCAATAAAATTCATACAAGATGTTATTAATCATTCTTATATCTAGAAATTCTTTACTTGTATGTTGATCTGTTGATTTGTTCATGATGTTCGATCTGTTTTGAATTAATAAATATCTTTCAATTCATGTTCTTTTTTTTTTTCTTTTTCTATCCTTCTTGTCTTCATTTGTAAAATTGAATAACTGAAAAAAAGCTATGCATCAAAGTAATTTACTTAATAATATTCAAATAAAAGAAAATAGAGTAAGTCTTTAGAATTCAATTCTTAAAAAAAATTACTCTTTTGAAATAAATTTAGAATAGTAATGATGAACAATATGAAAATAGAGTGAATAAAAAATCAATTTATTCAAGAAAAACAATTATTTTAATACTTATTGCTGTTATTGCTGGATTAGGTTTAGTAGCAACTATAATACTTATTTCGATTGGTAAGAATTTTCAATTTTCAATTTAATTATACTATTATTTTGCTTCAGAGTTTCATCAAATTTATCGTCTATCGCACGAAACATCCGGTGAAAAATTAGATATTTTATATACATTTTTTTTTCTGATCACTTTCTGCCTCGATATGAGTACCTTTTGTAGTTTCGACTTATTAGCATGGAAATAAGATTGAATAGATTTCTTTATAATTTCTTTTTTTTTTTCGCTACAGTATTTCAACTTCGAACGTCGAACTCTATGAATACGACAATACTCTCCACAACTAAACATACAACTGACACTACCAACACGAATTTTAGTAATAGTACATCATTGTCAACCACGTTGCCTATCACAACGACTTTAGTAACAACAACTACAAATGTTCTAACGAGAACAATTCAAGTTATTTCAACGGATACAATAACAACAACAACTATAGCTATGAGAAATTTATCAGTTGCCGCGAAATGATGTTTTTGCACAATGACAATCTTTTTTTTTTTTTGATTCTAAGAAAATTTTTTCTTCTGTGCATAGAAAAATAAATAATTCATTAGCTGAATTAATATTTCACAATATATGTTTCATATCTATAATAAGTATCGAAATTACTCGACAAGACTTATTTTCAACTTTTTTTCCGCAGACGTATACGTTAGCAAGAATCGAAATAATGGTTCACAGACGAGCTAAAACATAATAAATTGATTTCATACAGAAATAAGACCAAATAATCGATTAGTACTATAGTTTTACATAACCACTAACTATAGTTGTGTCTCTAATTCATATTGATTGGTTCTTTATTCAACAGTGTTAAAAAACCTATAATTCATTTTTGAGAAAAAAAGTATTAAAGAATCACATGAATAACAATAATGATCCAGAACTGATAATTTCAATCGTACGAAATAAACTACCTAACAATTCAGTTTCTAAAACATTAAACGTGTCATATGCGCATCAGAACAGGTCTTTGTTAGAAATTTCTTTTTGTTTCATAAACTATCGATTGCAGCGGCTTTTCTGAATGATAGATATCTATTTAAACTGTAGCAATTATAAAGTTTTAAAACGTTTAATAGTGTTTCCTTTAAAAATTTTGTAGATAGAAATCCCAATTGTCGTCAGAGACTTCGCATAAATAATAATTTTCCATTGATGTACTCATGCAAATGCTAGTAAGATTGAATGAGAACTTTCCATTCTTGACATCATCAATTACTGAAACCGAACGATTGAACAATGTTCGCTCAGCAATGAACTTTTTTGAACATACATCAGTTTATCGATTTTGAATTTTCAAAGTTGACAATATTATATGTAATTCTATTAGAATTAGAATTCTTCTTTTTTTATTTTCATGCTTTTTTTTTCTGTATGAAAATGACATTAAAGTCCATTGTAGAGTTTTATTAAACAATCGTGGTTTTCTATTGTATTTGATTCGTAAACAGTTTTAAATGGCCACTAAAGTGTAACTCTGCATCTACCCAAACGTGACACAACACTTAGATCTACGTATACTATTGCTAGGATATACCTATAAGGTCATGAAGATCAGTGCATAGTTATAAAGCGAGATGTATAAGAGTATTGAAATAAGGCTCTGAACTTGAAAATATAGTTTTAATAATTTAGTTACAAGGGCGTACGATCAAAGATGTAGATCTAAATATAGAGAGATAAGAATATAGATCTGAAGAGATATAGAGATAGGAGCAAGTAGATAAGCCTAATAGTGTCAATGTATAGGTCATTACGAACGCTTGTTTTCGATTTGACAGAAACCTTCGATACGAAAATATTTTTTCTTAAAGTGTGCAGTATATGTGGCCTTTCCTTTTTTTTTCTTTCACTTCACTGGCCTGTATTTTCCGAGTAAACTTATAAATTGATATTGTTCAGGTATTCGTTTCCATCGTGTTTTGCAGTTTTTTTCTATTATTTTTGGTGTTTCTTTAACTCGTTCATTATAAATACTAGTCCTTTAAAAAGTAAAAATAGAAGTTTATTTTAGATTAGTTAGATTGATTCACTTGTTAACTACTTAAACTTAAATTCTTCTGAGAAGAAAAAAAGAATATTCAAGCAGGAATACAAGTAATAACAGTAGAAGCACCTAATCACTGCGCGAAAGAATGACTATTGATAATATGAGTTAACTGTAACAGGATAACTTGAAATAATTGATGAAACAAAAACAAAAAATTTTAAATGAAAAAAAAGTCAATATAATTTAAACATCTATTTCGATTAAAAAGACGATAACTAACAATGTGCATCGTAATTATATAATTAATAGTAATGTATGGTTCATAATATATCCTGTAAATACAGTGATCAGAATTATTTTCATTTCTATGATTTCTTATGAATGAGACAAGGAACATATTGATACAAAACAATTTAACATGTATTACAACTGAAGAATATTCAATTGATGAAAGTAAATAATCAGTATTTTTGCATAAATTATACAAATGACTCGACGAAGACTATGATGGTCATTTTTGTAAGTAATGTTTCATGAAGTTTACTTCAATTTTAGAAGTTTCAGTGAATAATAGTATTTATTTTCTATTTTAACAATTATTATCTTCGCATCAATATTTTTATCTGTTCGCTTGTTAAGTAAATATTTTCTTTTTTTCCTATACTCCAAATTTTCTTTTAGGACTAATTAAAAACTTAATCATTTCAAATATTACACCCACACTCATATACTAATAATGAACTATCTCTTGTAGATAACTTGACCTTAGAATAATTAACATATGACTGCAATTTTAGTCCTAACGGAGAAATTCTCATTTTTGCTTATTCGCCTATATTACACATATAGTCCTTATACTAATTTGTTGATTAGCAAAACTTGTCAAAGAAAAAAAAAAAGACTTTGTTATTTCTAATTATTAAAATTTAATTCAAATATTATTTGGAATAAAAACATAGGATCCTCTATGATAAATAAATTGATTAATATCTTATTGAAATTATATTATCAAAACTCGATTCTTTTTTTTCTTTTCTTCATAAATCATTCTTATATAATATTTTATTTTCGATTATTAACAATCAGTATTGTTTCTTCTTTCAACACTCAATATTCATTATTTCTCTTTATGCTTGTGCATATTGATGATCTTATTATATAAGTTTGTCTTCACTGATCAAGAGTCAAATGTTCATTACTATCTTTTTTCACATGATTTTTCCTCATTGACAATAGAGCACCGTAGGTTATTGTTTGTTATCATTAGCATTATCGTAGACAAAATCAAACACTTGAAAATCATCAAGACAATAGAAAGAATTTTTTCTTTTTCTTTTTCTTTCTCTTCTAAATAGAACAAGTAGTTATGATGCATCCATACGGTGCCTGTTCTCATCTTCATTGTTTGAAAATGCATACAAACACACTTATCGCTTTAGAAAAAGGATTAATTGGTATCATATTGAATTATTAAACACATTCTAATTTTTATTCAATATTTACCATTCTCTTTTTTCTTTTTTTCTTTTTTTCTTCCACCTGATCGATCGATCGAACAAGGTGTTAGTTGAATGAAACAAATTAATGCAAAAGCGTGTTAAAAAGTATTATCTATAAATCTATAGAAATAATAACAATAATCATTGCTCTTCATAGGTTCTTCTTTCTTTTTTTTTTGTTTTTCATGAGAATACTCACACACATACACACACGACTGTGTTTACTGACAAGAACTTGTGAATTAGACAAGAATTATTGAAAATACGCATATTTACATAATGTGAAAAAACAATTCATTAGTTTAACACATTAGAAAAACGAAAAAAAAAAATTATTCATCAACGTCTGAGTCGTGATGTTCTTCCGTTATTGGTGTTGGTGTTTGTGTATTACCAGTGAGAGATGTTAATCGTTGTTGATGATCATCTAATGTTTGACGACGCCATTTGATACGACGATTTTGAAACCAAACCTTTAATTTAAAAAAAAAAACAAAAAATTTTTATTAAAAATATTCTAATACACAAAAAAATAAATATAGTTTACTTTAACTTGTGCTTCAGTTAAATCAAGTGTTGTTGCTAAATAAAATCTTTCATTTCCAACCATATATTGTTGTTTATCAAATTCTGATTCAAGTCTTTCAAGTTGTTCAGGTGTAAATATTGTACGAATACGTTTTGGTTTTATTTTATGATTAATTCCATGACGAGAATTATTGAGATGTTTATTTGATGTTAATCGATATGGTGAATGATCAGATTCAGATGATGATGAAACTATAAATACAAAAGAAACAGTTTTTTTTTTTTCTTCATATGATTTAGAAACTAAAAAATAAAACTCCTGTTTGATTTCTAATTTTTACGTGTAAGATCATTTTTATTGTTATTGTTGTTATTATTATTATTATTATTTGGTGTCATATCAAGTGTTTTAAGTTGATTAAATAAAGCATAAGATGATATTGGTGGACTACGATATGTTGTATGACCATCATCACTTGAACCATCTTCCGTATCATCATTATAACTTCGATTTGATATTTGATTATCTTTTGTTTTTATTTCTAAAAGTGATTCAATATCAAATGAACATTTTTTCACCGGACGATCAGAATTATTGCTAGAAAATCTAGATAAATACAACACAAAAAAAAAATAATAACTGTATGAAGGAAAATTTTTTTTTTTTGGATATACTTTTTAGTTATAGTTTGACATTTTCCAAAATGTTTTCGTTTTCCATCAGATGTATTTGTTAAAAGATGTGTTTTAGTCATATCTTGAGATGGTAAATATATAAAAGATGGATGATAGAATGTTGATGGTGGTAGACCAAACATCGTTCAATTAGAACATAATAGTGACGAGTTTTGATCATTAAATGTGAATATTTTTTTTTTCTTCTTCCCTCTTATGTTCTCTCTCGCTCCTTTTTTTTCTTTGGGCGATGACGTTCGATCTTTTTTCTTGTTAAGTAGAGTGTTCGTTCGCCGTGGCTAATTGGTCGTTGTCGGAATGAGAGAATTATTTATGATTCGTAAGAATTGAAAAAAGAAAGAGAAAGATGAAGGAACACAACCAATGATTAAGCAATCCGGCAATAATATAATAACATTAAAAGTAAAGTAGCAAAAAAAAAAAAAAGAGAAATCCGATTAAGATATGATGAAAAGAATAATATTTCATGATTATCTAGAATATTTTATTAAACATAAAAATATATATATATTGAAAAGAAAATTCATTATTTCAACCATGATTTATACATAAGTTTAAGTTGAAATAAAATCAAACAATTCTTTTTTTTTTTTGCGATTGTCATTACATTCAACCAAAGATTGAAGAGTATAGAGCTATTCATCTTAGCTAACATAATAGAAAACATTAATTGACATTATTAGACAAAACAAAAACTCTTTTTGAGAGATATCTATAAAGTAATTCATTTGAATGAATATTCTAAATAAATA